GTCCGACCAAACTTCTATATACCTTTTCATCAGTTTTCTTGTTTCCATCATCCTTCACGAGCTTTAAGTTTTGGGGCAGAGGAGTGCTTACTTGTTTGCAATTTTCCATGCTGAATATCTTCAAGATTTCTTTGGCATACTTCCTTTGACAGATAAAAATACCTTCTTGAGATTGATCAACTTCCATTCCAAGAAAATATTTCATCTCCCCCAAATCAGTCATCTCAAATGCCAACATCATTTCAGCCTTTACTTTGTCAATTAAAGATTCATTGCTGCCGGTTACTAGAAGATCATCAACATATAGAGAAATAATGACTGATTCTTCTTCCACTTGCTTAATGTATAAGGTTTGCTCATTGACACTTTTCACAAAACCAAGACGGCTCAAATGCTCATCTACCGTGCTGTACCAGGCTCTTGGAGCCTGCTTCAATCCATATAGTGCCTTCTTCAATAGATATACCTTCTCTTCATTTCCTTCCAGCAAGAAGCCTTCGGGTTGTTCAATGAAAATTTCTTCATTTAGATAACCATTTAGGAAGGCAGACTTCACATCCAATTGATGAATTTTCCAGCCACTTTGAGCAGCCATTGCCAGCAGTAATCTGATGGTTTCATACCTAGCCACCGGAGCAAATGTGTCTGAGTAATCAACACCATATTGTTGAGCATAACCCTTTGCAACTAATCTGGTTTTGAGCTTGTTAATGGACCCATCAGAATTGAGTTTGGTCTTGTACACCCATTTAACACCAATCACATTTTTTTCTTTTGGTCTATCAAGTAGCACCCAAGTTTCATTCTTTTCTATCATATTAATCTCCTCCTTCATTGCAGTCATCCAATCATGTGAATTCATTGCCTCATTGAAGTTTGAAGGCTCCAACATGGCTGAATTACATCTGGCATAAACACCTGCAAGAGTTCTAGTCCTCAGCACTTCATTTTCTGAATCAGAACCACTGTCATGTTCAGGTTCATCCTCATTGATGATGTCTTCATTTTCTTGAGCTACCAACCTTGGAACTTGAGGTTTATCCAAGGTACTTGCTTCCCAATTCCATGAATTATTTTCATCCACCTTGATATCCCTGCTGGATATCATCTTCTTGGTTTGAGGATTGTAGACTCTATACCCTTTTGCATTGTCACAATAGCCAACTAGAATTCCAAGCTCTGCCTTTGGACTCAATTTATCCCTTTTTGCATCAGGTATATGAGTATAACATATACTTCCAAACACTTTCAAATGCGAGACATTTGGCTTAACTCCATACCAAGCCTCAAAAGGAGTTAGTTTGTTCAAAGCTGTTGTTGGTAATCTGTTCAGAAGGTAGATTGCTGTATTCACAGCTTCAGCCCAAAAATCCTTTGGAATTTTCTTCTCAAGCATCAAGCATCTTGCCATCTCCATCACCGTCCTATTTTTCCTTTCACAAACTCCATTTTGTTGTGGTGAATACGGTATTGTCAACTGATGTTTGATTCCAACAGCATTACAGAACTTATCGAACTGATCATTCTTGAACTCAGTTCCATTATCTGTTCTGATGGCTTTGATCTTACAATTGCACTCATTTTCCACCAGATTTTTGAACTTCTGAAATACACCAGCAACCTCTGACTTCTTCTTTAAAAAATAAACCCAACACATCCTTGTTAAATCATCAATGAAGAGTATAAAGTATCTACTACCATTTAGTGTTTGTGTTCTCATTGGACCACAAACATCAGAGTGTATTAATTCCAGCTTTTTTGATGCTCTTCTTGACTGATTTTTAGGAAATGGTAGTCTCGCTTGCTTTCCAAGTTGACAGATATCACATACACAGCTATCATCACATATGTCAAGCAAGTTTTCAACAAGATTCATCTTATGCATTTGCTTAAGTGAAGTGAAGTTTGCATGACCAAACCTTTTGTGCCAAAGTGTAGATTTCATATCAGTACAAGAGTATGCATGAGATGTCAAATTTTTCCATTCTAAAGGGAAGCTTCTTTGCTTCATTTCAACAGACATTAACTCCTGATTTTTTGGATCAAGTATGGTGCAGCCATCTCCTTTGAAAATCAATGTATATTGCTTCTCAATTAATTGACCAACACTAATTAAATTCTGGTCAATTTCAGGCACAAAAAGAACATCTGAAACTCGTTTAATACCTGATGGAGTGTGTACAACAATCACTCCAATCCCTTCCACTTTGACATAATCTCCATTGCCTACTCTTACCCTCGATTTATATGTTCGATCTAATTCAACAAAGGTGCTTGAATTAGAGACCATGTGGTGGGTGCAGCCACTGTCCAGTAACCAGGTTTTATCACTGTTGCAGCCTTTGAAATTATTGGCAATGAAGAGATGCTCCTTCTGATGTTGCAGCTGATCGTCTGCCATCTGAGCTTGCTTCTTATCATGTCTTTCCTTTTGTGATTTACACACCTTTTGCACATGACCAAATTGTTTACAGTTTCGACACTGAACTCCTGGTCTATACCAGCACCAT